TCGAAAAAGCGGGTCGGAGTCAGAAGCGAGCGTCGTCCCCTCCTTGGCCAGGCCTTCCGGTCGGAAAAGCGGGTCGGAGTCGGAAGCGGGCGCCGTCCCCTCCTTGGCCAAGCCTTCCGGTCAAAGACTGGATCGCTCTTCTGGCCTATCGTTAGGTATCTGGGCCGGCCCAGGAGTCGCGCATCGCTGTAATGTCGTCTGCTGGGCCGAGTTTTTGCTGGGAAGCGGGCCCATTGGGGACCCTGGGTTTATGAACCTGACAGGAGCCCCCGAGCCCTTTTGGGACTTCTGTGAAGTCGTGAAGGGGCTGTTTATACTCGTTGTATGAGAGCAACAGATGGGTGTAAGATCTTGAGTCGCCGTTGGGCGCGACGGAACGCGGACCCATGCGTCGGACCACGGCCGAGGGGTCGGGCGCGGCGGGGCGTGGACCTAGGCGTTGGACCGACGAACCAGCATGCTGATCAGTGGTCGTATAGGGTGTAGGCAGCATAGTGACCATGCGTCCGTCACTGTGGGTCGATGTGAGTACCCTAGAACGTCATGTCGTGGAGACGGGTCGTGCTGAGACGCGACCGCTCCCTGTACGATGTCAGAAGTTTGACCTGGGGTTGTACTTTCTGGCCCGTAGTGGTTGGCGGCGGCGCGAGCTTCCGTTAGGGATCGTGTCCGAGGGATCGGGCGAAGCGGGGCCAGCCCTCAGACGTCGGGAGAGGCGGAGCCAGCCCCCAAACGTCGGCCGAGGCGGAGCCTACCCTCGGGGATCAGCCGAAGCGGAGCCAGCCCTCGGGGGTCGAACGAGGTGGAGCCCAGCAAGGGGCGTGGCCTTGGTGGTCCTAGAAATCGCCTGGGGGATTTTTTTTTAACTTGTCAGCGGGTGCGCGTGACGATGAGGCACGCTCTATGTACTGATCTATGATGGAATGGGAATAAGATAAAGTGAGTAAGTTAAGTTTAAGTTATAAGGTGAGATCAATGGGGAGAATGCTAGATTGATCTCCACCAATTGGCCCAATGATCAATTGGACCCTTGGATCTACGCCCTGATCGGGGGCGCCCAACCGCTCCATGATTGATGGGCCCCCATCGCACAACGCCATAAAAAGGGAGGTGGAGGCCGGAGCACAAGGCATGAGGTTCACCTGAGCCGCCAGACACCCCACCTACATCCTAACCCTAGCCGATCTAGAGAGGGGGTGCTGCCAGCGACGGGAAGCTCCGCCACCAGCCACCGCCGCCTCTGCACCGCCGCCACCGCGACAACGCCTTCACCGCCAGGCTTCACCGCGTCACCGACAAGCAACCCCATGGCCAGCTCGTCTTCTATGAAGGCGGCCAATGGTTTGTACCTCCGCACCCTCTCTCTCTCTTCCTCTATCTCTAAATCCCGTACTACTTCATATTCTAGGACTCGCTATTTATCCCAAATGTCAGTATACATGCTAGATCTATGGCTAGATGATCCTATAACAATCTATCAGCAGAATGTTAACTCAGGGTAGACACTGGTGCTGGTCTCACCTGAAGAGAAAAATGGCAAGAGAATGAGATTACTAGGGGTGGGTGTTTTGGGGAGAGGTATTTCGCCGGGACTCATGAATTCAGTTCAAATCTGCAGTGAATGAAATGCCAATAGTGTTGTCTGGGCCAAAACATGCTCCATGCATCTGTTGGTCCATACATGCGACTTAGTTTCAAACAAACAGAATGGATTCGACCTGTTATAGCATCCGTATGTCATCAGTGGAACTTTACAGTGATGTTAAAATATACAGGGTCAAGAATACAAGTGGGGAAAATGCTCCCCTCTATATGAAACAAGCTGCAGAAAAAGGCCTAAAAACAGATTTCAGCAAAACTCTATTCTACTAGTGGGTTCATGCTTCATACTCATATCCCGAAAAAAAAAGAATGAAGTTAGGGATAATTTCTCAGGTGAGCTCTTGAGTTTTATTTCTCAGACGTTCTCAACTGCTTCAAGACTGGACGCTAGCAAATCGTTCCATGTGTCCGTTGGCCCTGGCAAAGACCAATGCATGCAATCATCGTGTTTTTTCCCGCCAGTTGTTGAAGGGTGAGCATCAGCTCTGAATTCACTCATGCGAGTGATGTCCAGAACTCTGAAATTAGACTGTTCAAGAGCCTTCACCAAGTGTTTGTTTACCAAGCGTGCTTCTACATTGGTGCTGTTATTGTCCAAAGAGAAAAATTCTTCCACCTGAACAGATTTGCCTCAATATGTTAGTCTAATTAAAAAAAAACAGATTTTGCCAGAAACCATCAAACAGTTTGTCATTCAGATCCAGTAACCTTAAAAGGCTGAATAAGGGTTGAGCCATATTATCTTCAATAAACATTTTCTCATTCTTTATATTACAATTGTCCTACCACCCAAATCCATGTCAGCATATTATGCATGATGTTGGAACAAAAATTGAAGAAACAGAAAGCTTGCATGAGGTGAAAAGTTTGCTATTTAAGCATTTCGTGTATTTAGTATCATATCAGTACCTCTTCTGACGACAAGGGCTGGTTACATTGGCAAGATCCACCTTCATTCCAGTCACCACCTTCGAAATGTCTAGGAGATTGAGTCCGGAAGAATTTCACTGTGTTTGGTCTCATTGCTTTGTTTGCAAACATTATCTGATGGAAATTATTTATTCAGAGCATAAGAAAGATAAGTTGAATGCCATTCTGATAGACATACATAGGGAATTTTTGGTCTTTTTAAGAGATACAAGTATCATAAATCCATTCAGATCAAATTCACATGGTAAAGAATATTAAAAGAAGGCAAAATTCGTCAATTAGTTGAAGTACAGAAGTATAATATCCATATGCCATGGCAGTGTACTTTTTTCACAAAGAGAAATAGAGAAATCCCAGTCCATTGCATAGTAAGAGAACATCAGGATTCAGTTACATATGAGCTTCAGGCACAGATAAAGTGGTTATTAGATATCAGCTAGGGCGCCCTAAACTGGAGCTTTTAGTAACATGAAGAAACAAGGCTATAGGCATACCATGTTTTGAAGAGCCAAGTCCAGTCCAGCAGGTGGCAGTAAAGGAGGTACAATTGGCCTCCCCTTCTCAAAGAACAGCATTGGTGACCGTATTGGATCAAATTTCGAGGGGTGCCCACCACCTAAGTACAAAACAAAGCAAATGAGGCCAGATGTAAAAGAATATATGCGTATTACATACAGAGCAAGATAAGACAAATTTTCAGGGATCAGGGAATAGCTGAGGTGGTAGGCTGCCCCTCATTATATATTATCATGTGTGTCACAATTTTGTCTAGATTATCAAAGCAGACAAAAACCAACATGATAGCTGTGGCGAAAATTAAGACAATTGAAATGCCCTCAGAAAGATATACAGTGAGCTGAATCACATTATCTTCCATCAGGCAAAAGCTATTTAGTGGCAACTACCAATAAAATTATATTCATAGGTTTCTGATGTATTAACTGGCTACAACATAGTATATTGTGAACAAGAAGTAGTTCACAGTGCACTTTTGTCAAGTTTGAACTTTGATGGGAAACAATGTAACTGCAGTACTTAGTTTGTATAATAACACACTTGTTTATCTGTCAATTGATCATGCCAATAACTTAAATCATAAAATGCCATTAGTTTGGCATCAAGCTGTAGAACTGCTGATTTAATGCTTATTTGTTCATGAACAGTGAAATTCACCGATTCACGCATTCCAATGCCCAGTGTTGAAAATAAGAACATCATGGAAGCTACATGCCTCTACCCATGTTTGGTCAGGAATATCCACATCAACTCTGTAACCTTGCTTATATCCAAGAGATTCTAGAGTGCCTCCATTTGGATTCGCTGACCACCTACAAAATGAGGGATATGGGGTTCAATAAAAAATGACGAATTAGAAGGACAAAAGTATCGCCATGAACAAAAAAGTTCTGAATCAGCGTCTAATTCACATAAAAAAACTCGAAGGAATCAAATAGGAAAAAATAAAGAGACACAGTGACTGATAAGAGCATGGTTCTATTAATATTAACCCACTATTTATTAAACCAGGTAGCAAGAATGGCCGACTGGGAGGTATTTCAAAATTTTCAGTGCTTCCAAGTTACACCTAGAGTTCTAAACTGGAAGCAAGATATGCAAAGATGAAATAAAATTCTGGCATAAATAACAATACAAGTAGGTCATACATCCAAATAACCATTTTTTAGGCTAATCCAAATGAAATGACACTTCTTACCTACCATAGCGTACCAAGAGATTTGTCCTGTGTTATGCCATGGTGAGGTTATAGCGCAGGAAGGTGAAGCCACGGTCTGCCCCTGCAGGACGCCATTTGCGAACCTCGCTACTGACTCCCCTGAGCATGCAGACTAATGAGGCAAACATGTTGCGGTTCAAGGAATCACCCACAAATCCTGCAACAAAGGTATCAGACAACCGTCAGCATAGCAAGGCAAATTTCGGAGACTCTAAATCTATGAGCTCGCAACAGGCAGAAAATTTGAGTACACTTACTGCCTCAGAATTTGGAAGTGTGAATGAACCTTGCTTCTACCATGTGGCAATTCTAATAATCTAATTAGAAGCATGTCGCAGAATGGAAACAATGGAACATGCAACCATAGCGCCACATAACTCTAGAAGATGGAAACTGGAAAATATGATACACCTATGCAAATTAGCTTATGAGATGTATAAGTAACTAACAAATGCATATCAATGTGCCCATGTTTGGAGGTTACTCCCATCCCCAACCAGACCACCAAGCAAAGGAAGGCATGCAATCACATTACTCGCGTGCTGACCATTGTATAACTAAGTGGAACGCACCACGCATCGTCGCAACATTCTACACACCCGATAATCCTAGCTCCCGGATCAATTCCTTTGAAAACCACGCGACCACAGCAGCTTGTCCCCACCAAGTCGCATCGCATTTCAATCTTCTCAGGCATTTTTCGGAAACAATAAAACGGGAGCGGGGAAGTTACCGATACTGGTGTCCCTGTGGCGCTCCAGGAACCGGCGCGGGTCGAGGCGGGGGAACTCGCACCCGGGCCCAGCGGGCGTCCACCGCCAACCGAGCAGGTCGCGGGCGTTGGCCTTGCCATTGGAGATGCAGTTCCAGCCCTTGAAGATCTCCTTGCAGGTGTCGTCGTAGCGGAGCGAGGAGCCCGCGACGGGGTCGCGCACCCACTCGCCGGCGGAGTAGTCGCAGGCCTGGGACCGGGAGGAGGGCTTGCGGTGCGCGCGGGGGGCAGGGGCCGAGGCGAGGTGGAGGAGGAGCAGCAGAAGGGGAAGCAGGAGGAGAGCGAGGACGAGGGCGCGCCGCCGAGGCCCCGTGGTCGGGCTCCTCGCCGGCGGCGGCATGGGAGGCGGCGAGGCGGCCAGGCCGGCGAGGTTGGGCGAGCGAAGCAGATCGGTGCGTTGCGCGGTGGGCCTACACTACACAGGTCGTGCCGAGGAACTTTGCTGGGCCAAAGGAGGAAGAAGGGACAAGTACCGGGCCTTAACAGGCCGAGTTTGGGCTGGAACTAGACATTAGTGTGGGCCAATTTCGTGAGCGTCTTTTCCTTCTCCGGACGTGCACAAGAATTGAAGTCTGAAGACGCAGCAGAACGGAAAATGTTCCTCCTGTTCCTTGTCCTTGGTCCTCATCAGAAACCATCATTTTAGAAAAAAGGAATTTTGTTTCGGTCTCTGCATATTATTACACACCAATACGTAGTAGAGCCCTAGACAAGTTATTTAGTGATCTCGATGGCAAAATAAAAAGGCATTGTTGATTACTCGGCGATGATGCATGTGTTGGTGTGATTTGTGCAAAGCTACACAAAAAGTGCTTCTTGCTTCAGAATAGTTGCTGTGACGTACTTGTAAGTAAAGCCTTGCGGAGATGGAGATAAAATGGAGTGCTGGAAGCAGAGGACTAGCAGCCAGCAGAGCACAGTACCGTACGGCAACGCAACGAGATGGTGAAGGCAGGCAGGCTGGACCGTCGTGGTAGCATTAGCATCCTAGGGACCTGGTCGCTTCGCTTGAACAACTTTTCAACCAAGCTTATTTCAATTTATTCTTTCTCACGTAACACTATTAAATCAATCGAAACCAGCCGACTTTAATACCAGCCGAAAGGACCATAGCTGGCATACGCCATACGGTGTCATGCCTACGTGTATGTAATGTGCGTAGCGTCGAGTAGCCTGCAGCTCAAAGCAGGAGGAACAGTGCCGCATACGCTGGTTGGTCGGTCGGTCCAGCGATGCAACCTTAAATCATCCCTGCTCGCCTGCATGCATCAAGCGGTCCGACTAGTCTGTGTCACACCCTGATGGACCAACCGCCCACGAACACGGTGGCGGACGACGTGTCGCCAGTAGGAGACATTCCCGTCCGGCGCCGTCCTCAAGCGCCATGAGGGAGCTTCTTCCCAAGAAGGGCCATCGACTATAGCGATGGCGTGGCTACATCGTCGTGTACGGACGGTGCCTTGTGTTTGTGTTCACCTAACCACCTTTGGTACCGATGTAATGGTGTTGAGCTCAACGCGCAACGATAGATGACAACGAGCTCCATCAAGCGATTCCTCTCGTCCGTCTGGTGTTACAAAATTTCTGCAACCTCTAGAGGTGGGGCTTAGATAGGCGGTGATATACCTCGGTGACCTCATGGCGCCGCCGTCACGGTGGCCGTGACGTGGAGAAGTCGTGCCCGCCGCTAGGTCGTCGACTATAATTTTATGCGGGCGCCGATGCTGACGATGGCGGAGCCATCTTCCGTCGCTCAGATAGGGTTAGGAACTTGAGGTGGGGCGCCCCGACCTCATGTCTTGTAACCCCGCGATCAAGGGCCCAATTGGACGTTGGGCCATCACTAGGATGACCGTGGCGCTCGGATGCAGATGGATCATCATAACATTCTCTACCTTGATCTCACCTTATGACTTAAACTCAACTTACTTTATCTTTTTCCTATTCTATCACAGATCAGTGTACAGAGCGTGCCTCATCGTCACGGTCAGTTGCCACTAAATTAAACAGCTATAATGCATCTCTCTGTTTTAAAACAGATTCTCAACTAGGCCCTTAGTATCTAGAAATCGTAGGCTTTCCCGTAAACCCATGTCGACTGTATGTTCTCTGAACGCACTGGGTGGTTAGCCTTTGGTAAGCGGATCCACAAGTACTTACTTGGTACTCATATGCTCAATGCTTTCAAAATGATTCTGAATTTTCTCCTTTACAACATATAACTCAATGTCAATGTGTTTGGCAGCACACTTGACCTGTTGTCTTAGGAGTTAACTACTTTGAATGGTTATTGCTGTTGACTACCATTGTTAAATCCGGGTACTAATTCTCTTAACCTTCTTTTGCCTGTTCTTTAAGCCTTATGTCAAGCTATACTATGGTATGCATTACTATTGACACCACAACTCTTTCTTTGGAGCTTTTCCACAATAATACTCCAACTGTAAGTATTAGCAACTACTATGGATTTCACTACATATCTCGCCAAGACTTAACATTTGTACCCTCAACTATTTGAGAGTACTTGTTCTTTCTTATTCAGCATGAGGCCCATGATACTTTTGCAAAATTGCAAGACATTCTTAACTCTATTCCAATGATCTATATCTGGACTGAACCTCTGCCAAAATATCCCGGATACGTAAATTACGTCAGGGTAAGTTCTACTTGTACTTGTACACTCATCAAGCTTCCAATAGATTAACATCATTACTAGTGAGTAGAATGTCATCTATTCACAGGATGTGAAAAATGAATTTTCTAATCTTGAACTTCGCATAAACGCTATTGTCCTTCTTATTTTTTTTAAAACCTAAACTTTCTCATTGTTTCATCAACTTCAAATACTACTCTCTTGTGACTTGTTTTAACCCATAAATGGATTTCTACAGGCGGCATCCCATACGTTCTTTTTCTTCCACGACCAAACCTTTGGGTTGTGCCATGTAAACATTTTTATACAAATCCCTGTTGAAGAATGCCGTCTTTACATCCATCTGATGTAACTCTAAATGGTAATGTGCCAATAACACCATTTTGATTCTAAAGAATCTTTGCATGAGACTGGAGAGAAAACTCTCATCGTAATCTATTCATCCCTTTTGCATAAAGCCTTTTGCTACAAGTCATGCTTTATATCTTTCTATATTTCCTTTGGAGTCATATTTTGTCTTGTAGACCCATTTACAGTCTACTGTTTTTGCTTCATTAGAAATTTCTTCTAAGTCCCAAACAACGTTGATATTCATCTAATTTATTTTAACTTTCATAGCTTCTTGTCATTTAGATGAGTAAACGCTTCTCATGGCTTTTTCAAATAAGGTGGGATCACCCTCCATTTAAATTTCTTTACTAACATAGACTTCATAGTCATCAGAAAAAACTGGTTTACTAATTCTTTGAGACCTTGTGGGGCCTCAGCTACTGACTCTTTCATATGGGGCTGTTGTTGCTCTTTATTGCTAAGAGGCAATTGATTCTATAGGCTCTTGTATTACAAGATCCTTGTTTGTATTATTCATCTTCTTCAAAGAGCCAACAACAGATGTTGTATAAGTTATACAACATCAATAGATATTGAGAAATTCGTTGTTTTTGAATCAATGAAGTGGGCACGCAGTCCCGCTTCTCTTTAAGTCATAGATCTCTACATACCATGCTCTCCCAGATCATCCCATCTTCTAAAAAAGATAGTGTACCTTCAAATTTTTTGTTTGGGTTTAATCTGTTAAAACCTCATATGGCGCTTTAAGCACCGCCTTTATATCTTTGAGGATGACTACGCTATCTTCCTATCGGAACTTTAAAAAGTCTAAGAATTTAGCTATTTCTCTGCTTAGGGGTGTCGTTATTATGACCATTGTACTCCTTCGACGGTCACATTCATCTTAATTAATTTTTTATCTCACTCTTAATGAAGAGTATCTTTCTTAATTGATCTTACTATTCTCCCCCTCGAAATATAGCATAAACTTTACTGCCATAATTTTGAGAACTATTCAGAAAAACTGTGACCGATGTGACACTTATTACTTACTTCATTCATATGATTACGTCATGCAAACAAAGTTATTTCTTGATCCGTATATGAGTACACTTTCCTCATTCCACTTTGAGAACTCGAAGAGATCTTTTATTAACTGTACTTTTGCAAGTCACGCTTACATCTTTTTTCTTGTCCTTTGATTAGTATTGACTATGACGGTGCATTTCTATTGTGCCATGGTCAATACTAGGATAGTTTAAGAGCTACCCAAACTTCTCTCGCTAAGCGAGATACAAAAAACATATGAGGCATCACTAAACTTCTCCCGCCGTGTAGGATTGACTAGCATAAGTACTATACCAATTTCTCCCCATGTGGGATAAATCTAAATATAATTTACTGTAACAAAAACTTAGTCACGACGACTAAAACCATTCACTTATACTTTATTTTTCAATTAAATCTTTTCGTTGGTTCCAATTTAATCAGAAAATTAGTAAACTAACAAAAAAAAGTCCTAAACTGGCTTAACTCAAGCCTTTTCATTCATATACCCCAGCATTGCAGCCCTGTTAACTTGCAGCCGAGTGATCTTATCGGTTAAAATTGAAACATACAAGGTGCTTTTGCATCAATTCTACATCACCGTTAAGCAGAAAATAGAATTAATGCATAAAACTCATAAATCAACTTGAAAGACATAACTACTCTTAAAAATTAAATTCTTTCATTGATTCGAATTTAATTAGAAGATAATCAACATCATTGCAGTGGAAACTTGATAACAAAATATATTCTATTGGTTCAGAAGCATTTCTTGGTCCTTATCTACTCTCTGAAAAATTGACCATGTTGGTGTAAAATTTATGAGAGATTCAAACTTCAAACTTAAACACATTATAATATTGTTATCATCAACGTTGGTCAGAAAATAACAATACCATAATTTGACTTAAACCCATCGGACTACTCCTCCAATTTTAATTAGAGGATAAACATAATCATAATTTACTGAATAAATATGACTGCTCTTCAAATTAAATTCTCTCGTTTGTTTGAATTTAATTAGAAGATAATAAACATTAAAACTTTGCCGCGAAAACATGGAAAATTCTTTACCTACTTTTCAGAAGCATTTTACAATACACATCTACTCTCTCCTAAAAATTATTCCGTTGGTTCAAATTTTGTGAGAGATTGAAATCGGACAAAAAATCATCAAAATTTGCTTCAAAATAATAAAACAAAAGTCTGCGTTCACTATTCATTAGACCCGGCCTGGGAAAAACCGCCCATGACCCATCTCTCTCAGTCTTGCTGAGACAGCCCTAGCCTAACGCGCTGCGTGGCCTAGC